TTGTTTTATGTTATTTTTGTACATTTTGTTTAAGTTTTCCTTTACGTGAACATCACTTTTAGAATAAGAAATGATTTTCCTTTTGTTTCCTACGTATTTTGTTATGGTTTGATCCCTACAGGGGCTACAAATCAAGCTATATAAACCAGCTTATCATGGTCTCGCTTTCTATCATCTTATCACACAATCGACGGTCAATTTATACTGGTTATGCATAGCTTGTTGTGTACCATAGCTTGTTGGCCTGTAGGTAGATATAATAAAAAAGTGTCTTACTAGTTACTCCGTCATATGTATAATAATCTGCATTGTTTTATTTGGACCTTGTTTGTTACGTAGGTAGGTATATAATCCAATATTTACTTGATATTTTATCAGTGCAAATTGCAATCTACGTCACAGTTTAGCCGGAATCGTAGTCTTATTTTGATAATAATACACTCCTGGACACATCTATTGGCCCACCTTGTATTTTCAGTTTCGTTTGGTCCTAACTAAAATTTTATATTATGTCGAGCAAAAAGTTTTTATGCAGTTTTGTACCTGGCACATTCATAATTTCATTCAATAGTCTTTTTTTGAATTTCGAACACAGAATTTAAACTGTCAAACACCGCGAGGACACCGGTGACCGCAAACTATTGTTCTTTAATTGTGTCTATAATGACGGTACTCAAAGGGTAAAAGAAACAAAAGACGATTTGGAGTCTGTAACAAGGCGCATATCCGATTTGTTAGGCGTAGCTCCATGTCGTATGGTATTCTGAATTCAAATTTAAAACTATACGATCGAAAAAGATGGTAAAATATTTAAAAGTGCATCAACAGTTTTTGTTCAATCTAGGAATCATATTTGGGTAGGGGCCATCGAAACCTAAACTCTAAGGTTTGCAAATAGATGTGTCCAGAAGTGTAGATACAAAGTTAAATTAATTTGACTGCCTAGTTGCTTGAGTGACCATTAGCGCGGATGCCGAACAAAAGAGTTCGTATCTAGATAGACTGTCAAATGCCGAGCGGTCACCGGTGACCGCAACCTATTGTTCTTTGACTCGTTGAGTACCGTCATTATAGACACAACGACGACACGTATTGACGTGTCTATAGTTTAAGTAACAATATGGGTACACACAAACTCTCGCATTTATAGTATTAGTAAGATACCACAGCATGGACCCTAGGATTTGTGAACTGCTTGCAATAGACTTTAAAAACACTAGTCTAAAGTGGGTATCTTCTCAAGCCACCGTAAGCGCGGGCCTACGGACGGCGAGCATGGGTGGCTCGCCACCCGATCAGAACCAGACCCTAGCGTACGGCGCGTCGCATTTCACTCGCGCCTCAAGGAGCCATCAGACCACCACGGATGGGGCCCAATAGGGCTGATGCCGATACGGAGCTGCGGAAGACTTAACGGGTTACCGGGGCTCCGGCTCGAAGGGCAGGAGTAGGAACGGGGTGGTTTTTAGTCAGTAAGAGTCTGACACTCCCTCCCGCCTCACCCAGGTGGGAGCAGTCATTCGATGATTTTCCCCCCTTAAAAACAAGTGGGTATGTAAACTTATATCCATGAGGAACATAAAACATGATTATGTCATACGAAATGAGATATAAGAAATATGTTATCTTCGAAATCTCTCTCATCGCAGTCACCTCGACCGATGCTCTTGGTACATCAGCTGTCAAACCTTCGATAAATTGTGATAACTGACAAACAGTCATTGTAACCTTCGATGTGAGTTCTTGAGTGTGTGCAGTGCAGTTGTATATTGAAATTCGTGTTTTTATGTTTTGTTCATGTGAATTTCTATTACATTGTGGTTTTAGTTTTTTAAAATTCGTGTTAATTGCACATGGTCTGGATTATGCCCGGTATTTGGCAATACTCAGCTATCATAACTTTTATATGGTATGACTACGGAACATTTGTTCACCTCATTCCCCATCGTAGACCTTAATAAAAATATTCATCATAACAGCCTATAAATGCACATTGCTGAGCAAAGCCTCTTCTCACACGGAGGTTTGAGCATTAATCACAACGCTTGCTTAATGGTTGGCCATTTAAAACGTATAAATATAAATTATAAGCCACTGTTTCATCACCATGTGTCCCTTCACCGTTTGTCTGTGGTGAGTAAATAATCTTAGAAAGTAAATATAACTCGGAAAATGTCACATTGGTACTTTCCGATGGTAGGTTTCGATCGTCTGGGACACCAGGACATTTTTTTAAAAATGTATTAAACACAAACACAACAACATTGTTCTCGCACAATCCAAACAAAACTGTGTAACTGGAGAATTGTATTTTGAACCTGATTGAAAAAGAGTTCCTAACCTATGAAGTTCCTTGTTCGTTCTTCTCCATAGGAATCTACACCTTGGAATGAGCAAATAGCTTCACTTTAAATGTTTTGTTGACGTTCATAAGTGCCTCTCTGGTCTAATTGAAATAAATGATTTTGACTTTAACTTAAATAGATAATAAATTATTTTGTTCATTTAATACTATATCTATAACTTAAAAACTAACAAAGAAACTACTTTAATTTAGATACTTAGAAACTATCATCTCTCTATCATGTTCAGAAGATCAGAAGATACACTGATAATTACAAATTAGCTATCTAATTAAACTATTTGTGTGTCAGTAATCTACATTATATAAATATGTACGAATAAAAAAAGAACTGACCGATGCGTGGTTTAAAAAAACCTTTTTTCTACTCTATTTTTTTCAGACATAATTTGTAACTTCGATCAGTTGTGACGTCATTATATACAAAAAGCGAGCAATGCTAATCATGCGATAATCTTATAGTAAACACACACGTGTGAGTAACCTTGTCTCAGTGTGCGTCGAGCCTTACTCTGCGCAAGAGTGGATCCTCGCGCGATTTATAAAATTCAAGTGTAAATATTGTAAATTATAAAGTGTATTGGTGATTACTTAATTTAGTGATTTCTTGGGTTAGTCATTATGTTTTTATTTATGGTTCGGTAATTTTTGTCTGATTTCTTTACAATTTAATTTAAACTTATTACAGTTTTTGAATTATGTTGTGATAACAAATGCTTGTAATAAATTACATAATAATAAATAACAAATACACAAAATACATAATAGGTACGTTACCTCAACAGATAATTACTTTGAATATTTTGGGATTTTTACACAATTAATCCAAATGTAATTAATCAAACAATTTGTAACGAAACAATTATAGAATAGATTTTCTGATGTTATACTGAAAATAATTCCATTTAACCCAAAGGTACCTGTAAGAATTATCCCTCAGGGGAATAACAATACAACATAATAATATTACATATAACAATAACAATATCAATAACTGGTAGATACCAGTAGAAAATATTAAAATTCTGATCACACGCAAGCAATAAATCATAGCGTTTGACTGTTTGACTCAGTGGCTTTGTAAGGAGGGTCTAATCATTTTGCGTCACATATGTATTTAGACACCAAGTCACATAAGCGGCTTACATTTACCCAGAAATTTATCTACGTAACATATTATTATATGAAAAAAATTAGGAGGAAGGATGTTTGACAAAATGCTAATTAAAATTCACATAACATAACATCACGCCTTTTTACAGAGGTGCACATTTCGGCATTTAATGCCGCTGTACAATGTAACACCCAGTTTTCACTGTTTCTGTTATGAGTCCCATGTAATAGGGGGTGAGCCTACTGCCATATACCGGGCACATTTCCAGAATCCGTGCTACTACTGAGATTTTTAAAAACTCAGTAATACTTTGCCCGACCCTGGTATCGAACCCGAGACCCCTTGCCCGGCAGTCGCACTTGCGACCACTCGCCAACGAAGCGGTCAAAATTAAAATTCAATCATCAGCAGCCTTTAAGTGGCCACTGTTGGACAATAATCACCATGCTTGCTCAGTGCGGATTGGTGATTTCCAACTTAGAGGTATTATTAGAACTGACTGCCTCGTTGGCCGAGTGGTAGCAAGTGCGACTTACCCGTACCGGGCAAGGGTCTCGGGTCAGGCAAAGTAGATATTACTGCGTTCTTAAAAAAATCTCAGTAGTAGCACGGAGTCTGGAATTGTGCCCGGTATATGGCAATAGGCTCACCCCGTATTACATGGGACTCATAATATAAATAGTTAAAAGTGGGTGTTACATTTTACAGAGGCAACCCTTTAATCCCCAAGCGGTCACCGGTGACCGCTCTCCACTAACTACATTATAGACCTTATTTCCGATGTTTTGAGATTACTTTTGTATGGACAAATTTAGGGGATGATTTATAAGTGCCATCTGCCTATTTGGAGATTAAAGGGGTGATGATATGATGATGATTTGAAACTAGAAGCCCAGGTTTCCTCACGATGTGCTAATTAAATTACTTAGAAATAATTTTTGAAGCCGTACTCAGAGTCACTCCAGTTATCCCGTTCTTAACAATTGTTTTTGGAACAAAATTGAAATTAAAGAATAGTTTAAGGAATCAGTAACTGTATATAAAAACGACAGTTAATATTTAAATTGAAACATACCTTTATATTCTTGAAGATACACCCTGACCTGCGGTCATCGATCGGAATAAACCGTTCATACTTAAATATACCGAGTCACTCACAGTCTCCTCACAAGAAAAAATTCAATTACGCCAAAGAAAACACCAAATTAAAAATATCTACCATGTAGTTTCAATGTATGAGATAATACAAATACAAGTGATGGTTAATGAACCCGGTTTTTAAATATGAAGTTTCAAGTGTTTTTGTCTTGATCAAAAAACCACAGATTTCTTTTTTTCTACATGATATGGAATAAAAAATTACTCTCAAGACTCTTGTATGTACAATTTACCGACGATTTGATTGTATCTGCAAGCAAATGATTTCATCCCACCTCATAAATAAATGTAGATGTAGCATTTAGTCATTCCATGATTCAACATGTAAACGTTTCTATTTACAGATCTCTACTATGAAATAATATAATGGAAAACAAAGATCAAATCTCAAAAGACATAGAAAAAGGCTTAAATTCACCAGAAATAAAACAAAACGATGACATTCCATACGTAGATGACTTTGTTGAACTAAATCTAGTCAAACCTGATGAACCTGTCCGTCCGAAACGCGCGAAAGATGAGAAGGAAGATGGAGAACCACACACACCAGAAAGGGATAGAAAACTACATGCCTCAGATTTGGGAGAAGTACATTCTTCGCCAAATAATGATACGATAATAGTGAATACGCCAGAAGGGACTCTATATATAACTTTAGAGCCTGATTCTGCTAGATCATCGAAGCCTACTAGTCCCACAACAGAGTCTACTGATCTTGAAGCTATTCCGAGTACGAGTTTTGGAGCAGCGGAGTCTGATGCACTGATACAGAAGGAGAGAGAAGCAGAAATGATGGAACAGAGGAAGATAGGTTTGAGAAGGAATTCCATATCTATGCCGACGTTACAGAACTTGGAGCTGGAGGTGTTGAAACAGCAGTACTTGAACCCACAGGATGATGTGAGTATTTCTTCATGCTCAATGACAAGAAAAAATCCTTACTATCCTTACTAATATTATAAAACGGAAAGTGAGTTTGTTTGTTTGTTCCACTTTCGCGCCGTAACTACTAAACCGATTGCTTTGAATTTTTGCAGACGTGAAGTTAGAAGTCTGGATTAAATAATAGGGTACTTTTTATTCCGATAAATGTTGATATTCTCGAGGGAAAACGAAATTATTGGTATAGATGGCGCTGTGTGTATTGGTATGAGTCACATAGGCTACTTTTTATCCTTTTGTGAGGAAAGCGAAGCCGCTGGTAAAAGCTAGTTATTAATAAGTCTGAAAAGTGTATTATTTAGCTAAATAATTCCAAATTTTTGTTTAATTTTCGCTCTAAACGATTTTATTGCTATGACTTTAGTGGTAGGCACACCACTTATTGTAGGCGCCTTATGTTTTATCAATCGTTGTTTCACAGAACGGCGATAAGTCTTGCATTAAAAATTATCGTTACAGTTTAGGTAATATTAGTATCTTAGATTATCCCTTATATCAAAATCTCTTTTCATTATTAATTTCAAATAATGTGATAAATGGTTACGGGACAATGTGGTTCCACTGGAATGGTATTTAGTTTGACTGATGCGGAGCTAAAATAGGAAGCAATGATAGGAATATTATTGCTATATCCAGAAACAATCGGGTCGTATCCTAAATTTTATTTTATTGTCCATTTGGTAGATTATTTTTAAAATATTGGACATATATTTATACTATTCTTACAAAATTAAATAGGTACTTTCGACGATATATTGATTTGAAATATCATGTGACGTCACAATTTACTACATTTTATTGGATAGCGTGACGTAACGACCTCCCACTCCTAAACTAAACGTTTTATTTAAGTACTAGCTTTTACCCGCGGCTTCGCTCGCGTCACAAAAGGATAAAAAGTAGCCTATGTGACATATACCAATACATACAGCGTCATCTATACCAATACTTTTGTTTTTCATCGGGAACATCAAACTTTTCTGGGTTAAAGCAATCGGTTTAGTAGTTACTTAGTAAGGATTGTTTTCTTATACGACAGAATTAAAAAAAATGTGTAGAATATTTTTTCATTATCTAACTGACAGACTAATTACATTTTTATGGTTCATACACTTCTACTATCCTTTTAAATTCTGGTAAATATTCTTTGATAACATAACCACCCAATGAAAATTAATTAATATACTACCAAAGCCTACGATCGTGGCTAAACAAAAGAAAGTCTACATTAAACAACCCAGTTCGATTGCAGAGATATTATCAGTACAAACATTGGTAGTATCACGTGCTTAATCTCCGCGATGATGATCCAAATTGTTTAAGCATAGCCTTGTTCCGATTAGGACTACTATAGCTAAATCTTTGGTGTTTGTTATGGTGTCTTACACCGTAGATTGTGTCAGCGTTGTCTCTTTGCCACATTTGTCTTGAGGTTAAGCGATTTTCAGAGTCATTGCTATGAGTTTTAAGTTTAATTTGTCGTATAATGAAATTTATCAACTAATAGTAGCCTTGACTGCCTTGTTGGCCGAGTGGACGCAAGTGCGACTGCCGAGCAAGGAGGAGACTCCTTGCTCGACAGTCGCACTTGCGTCCGATTCCCTGGGATCGATTCCCTGGTCGGGCAAAGTATTACTGGGTTTTTTCAAATCTCAGTAGTAGCACGGAGTCTGGAATTGTGCCCGGTAAATGGCAATAGGCTCACCCCCTATTACATGGGTCTCATAAATAGTGAAAAGTGGGTGTGTTACATTGTACAGTGGCCCTTCGGGGATAAAAGGCATGATGTTAAGTTATGTGTTAGCAGCCTTAATAAAAGACACCCTCTAATGTCTTATGAGACTAGTAAAAGGCGTTACCTACAAGTTTAGAACTTTTACTTTACAAAGACAAGAACGATACAACAAAATAAAAAGTGATAGATAAATAGACATTGTCACAGATTCTAATCACGGTTATGACAACCTAAATCAGACGCTGATTATATTAACGACTGAATGAAAGCATCATGATAAGCTTTATTATCAAATCAGTTGTGATAGTGATCAAATAATTGTAATAATATGCAACAGAGGGCGTTAACATATAATGGTTGATTAGTATTCAACAGTTCACCTCACTGTGGCGAACTGAATTGGTAATGTGATTGTAACATTTATTATTTAATTGTGATGCAATATTGTGCTTTTACACCTAAATTACTGGACTAATTTTGATAAAGTTCTGTTTAGAGATACTTGCACTTAAGGGAAGCTGTAACGAGTTCATTCAACTGTCTCGTTAGAGACGACATTTTACATTGGTTTTCGAGCCAAATTGAGTACTTACATTTTGTATTATGGAGGTTTAATTCATGATAAGACTAGGCAATGAGCCAAATGATATATGATTAAAACAAAAATAATTCATAATAAGACTTAAAACGACTACTACTTACGACGACTAACAAAAATAATTAATAGGTTCTTCGGTACTTTAATGGGGTATAAGTTAGGAATTATGTAGTGTCGAGGGAATAGGTTGTCTTAAGCAGGCGTCTATGCCGCGGAGAATCTAACGGGTTACCGGGGCTCCGGCTCGAAGTGCAGGAGTAGGAACGGGGTGGTTTTAGTCAGTAAGAGTCTGACACTCCCTCTCGTCTCACCCAGGCGGGAGAGGTCATTCGATGATTATCCCCCTTAAAAAAAGCGTCTATCGATGACCACATCAATGCTTACCACCAGGCAATAGAAGTAGTGGCTAAAACCAATAGAGTAACAAGAAATGAGAGATAGCAGATGGCATTAACATTTTGGATAAAGGAAAAAAAATAATCATTCCGAATGGCCGATCTCATAGTCCGATCAGACATGACGTATGTTGTTTATCATACCGAGAGTCGGATTAAGTAATAAATCACGATCTGATTTACATTATTAGCGGATTACTGACTACTTCTTACTGGTGTTACGCTAATTCTAACCGGTTTTGTATTCTACCTGATTCATTATACATATTTGTTTGTTGGCAACAGTTGGAAATTGTAATATAGTTTAGATTTAGTAAGAAGTTCAGTAACGTCTCTGAATTAATTTTATTAGCCTTTACAATCTTATTACCAGCCGTATTAAATTTTCCTGGTCCTAGTAAGAACGAATAAATCTAGACAACATTACAATTAAAAATCAAGAATACATATTCCCCCATTAAGATAAAAGCAGGTCCAACTAATTAGATCAACGGACTGCAAAAATGTTGCTGATAAAAGTTATTATGGTCGAGCAAACAATTAGGTACAATCCTTTGAATAGGAACTGACCTCTTGATATCAGATCATCTGATTTCTGGCTAACCCGGTAACGATAACAAGCAAAACACTAGAAAGATAACTAATCCAATCATATGACAATAAATAACAATCCTGTATTACGTATTATTTATCTACACGACTACCATTGGTGCAAATTTGATAAAATAAAGCAAAGAAAAATTTTTAGATAACATTATGAAAGATTACCAACAGTTTTGCTTACAAGTCTTTACGATAAACGATGGTGTTAGACATTTAAATTAAGATACAGAAGAATTTTCATAAGAAAACTGTGCAATAATTGATTAGTGTCTAAAATTAGTGTCGCCTTTAAAAAATATAAGGAAAATTTATTACCTCGTGATTAGCCTTATCAGTAAGTGTACAAAGCAACAAAATGAGGGAGCGGAAGAAGCCAGATCTTCGATTGAACATACCTTCATACCCTTCTGACTATGTCGAAATGCCACCAGAGACGAGAAAAAAGATAGAAGAAGTTATTCGTAATAGTATGAGCCCTACAGTCGAAGATATTGTTAACAGTCCTACTAGTGAACAAGATACTATTAGAGAAGGAACTAGGACTCCTGAAGTTAGGATCGTAGGTCCTGAAGATGACAAAGATAAAGGTCATCCAACTGAGAACAAAGATGATGCGTCATCAGCTGGAAGTCCAGTAGTGTATAGGAAGAAAAACAAAGAAGTAGAATCTAAAGACGCAAATAGTAAAAATACAGAGCAGCATGTTGTGAATGTGAGTTGTTTAGTTTTTATAGTAATTGTGACTGTAAAAATTATAGTTTGAGTAATTGGATATTAGAGTGTTGCTTTTACCTAAATATCAAGAATCCCACACTGTATTGAATCACTTACAAACAATTGAATAATAAGGATTACTTGTTGAAGTAGACAAAACCGTGGTATTAGATAGAATAGATACACTAACAAAATTTTCATCAAGTGCATTACCTACGTAGTTCCATGAAATAATAAGGATCTTGATTTGAATCAGCCCTAGGAATTGGACCGAATGTACTTTAACCCTTCTTGCAATAATATTATCTGTTGATGTAATTAATTTTACAGTTAAGAATACGTAATCATCATGACCAGTAATTTCGTTATACAACTATTGATTTGCTTTATAATAAAATATTACAAGCAAAGAGTTCGCGTTGTGGTTCATCATATGAGTGAGGTCATCTCTTTTAATGTTGCCCTGCCAAAAAGGGTAAAGGTACAGTGACGTCATTGTCGTAGGTCACGTTGATTCCCACATTTCTTCACCTAGTATAGGGGACAGGAGTTACAATTACTTGATACCCAACCAACTACTGTGACACTGAAAGCGAAGAAACTACTGATAAATTGCGACGTCCTGTCGGGACGATCAATTTAAGCCCATCACGTTGCTTGGTATCAGTTTCATTTGGATTTTCTCGTGATTGTAGGGGATTTTGTTCGAGGTTGTCTCTTGATGGTATTCACTTAATTTTTCGAAATAAATAAGTATTAATGGTGGATGTTTTTGCGTAGGCCAATAGTGTGTTGCTAAACGATACATTTTAATCCATTTATTTTTGTTTTTAATACATTTTATGTCTTTAACTTATCTGATTTGGTCCAGTTTATTATCGTTTTGGGATTTTCCTCTTGTCCAAATTAAATAATTGTGTTATTTAGTATTTAGCAGCCAAGAAGGTGACGCCAAAAAGTAATGTTGGACAGTTTTCTATTGGATCCAGCATAAATTGTCAACATTTTTTACAATCGCAAAACCACAAATTACCTCATGACCTAGGTTAACAAGATCTTTAAAAAGAAAGTAGTAAAAGTCAGTCTAGGACCATATTTTCTGCTAAACTGGAGTATAGAAACACCAAAATATTCATTATGGTTACACTGATATTGATACACTGACGCATCATTTATAAACAAAATCTTTGTTTAATCTAGAAACACGTCATGTGATTGCCCGGCAAACAATTTTGTGTGAATTAATGTTATCAGAGATTAGCGGCCTTAGATAATTCGTGATAAAGTATAGATAATCTACACGATACGACCTTTGTATGTATATCTTATGGGAATTATGTTGATTTAGGAAACCATAAGACTAAGGATACTGAAGTACTTTTTGTGTTTAATGGAAGGCAATTAAACTGTGTGGACAACTATGTTGATGAAATGTTTTAGTTAACGAAACGAACTTTTTGGCATAAAACCAAATGATTGTCCTAAATTAAAATCGAACAGTTTTAAGATATTTTTATATATTATATTATAACACAGTATTTAGGTTTTTCATAACTTTATTACGGACAAAGATCAATTTAAGACAAATAGATTTCTTCTAGTGTACACTGTACCGTTATTTCAAAAATCAACCGCCGTCGTATCGTCTCTATGACAATGTACCTCAGCGTCTCAATCTGCGAGTCCCTCGTTCTAGTTGCCTACATTCAAATCGTCGGGATTTGTCCGTGATCTTAGACACAGATTCGTCTCATATCCTTTCCTGCACGTACCATTATTGCAACACATACATTTTAAAGCAAGTTATTTATACTTTCATTATTTCTATCTTTAGCTGTTATAGTGTTAACAATATTTTCTTTTGTTTCATCCTTTTGTTTAACAGTGTCGTTATTTTCAAGTGCAATTTTGTAATTTGTTGTGTTAAGATAAACAATATCTTTGCCACTGATACTATGTTATAATAGAAGTCCTTCACGAAGGTCTCTGTCTTTAAAATTATCTTTGGTTAGTGCTTGAAATAGGACTTTTATGCTTATTAACTTTATGATCTAATTTGCATCATCATCATCATCATGAGTAACGAGTCAAAGTTCAGTGCGTTTGCTCATAAGTTTAAATACCGGTCTCCTTTGTGGATTGAGTCTGACTCCGATGTCAGTAAGTCTAGCAGTGACTCTCGTGATAACAATGGTGGTCTGTGTAATAGTGATGATAGCATCGGTTGCCATAGCAGCGATAGTTCCGACAGCATCAACAACTTTCTGGATTCTAAGGTTAGGTACTCCTTATTTTCAAAAGGTTTTTATAATTAGGTTTGAATGAATTCAGCTCCATCAGTATAGTATAAAATATAATGTCATGTTGGTCTAGCACGGGGTTTTCAACTCAATAATAGCTGAACAAATTATGATTTGCCTTTGTTTCAAATAACTTTTTCATTACAGGTCTTTGTTTTTCAAATGATATGAAAGTGTATGGAAAATTCATTCTTGGGTGAAACTGAAATAGCTATGCATTTTGTCATGTTTAGAAGCAAAATCGATATTATATTTAAAGCTAATATCTTGAAATCTTTTAGAAAAATAACAGTATGTGACCACATAAATAAGTCATGTAACTAAACTGAAGCAGTGATTACAAATCTTAATATTCAAGGTGTCTACAACAATTTTCATTTTGACCTCTCTCGTATCCTTACAGTATTATGATAATAATTATTGCTTATTGCTTCGGAAACTCATAACCATTACAAATGAACATCATAATTAGTTCCTCACGCATTGACAGCACGCTTCATTAGTGTCTATTAAAATGGTGGCAAAGAGAAATGATTTTACCTATTGCGTTTTCTGTTAGTGTTAAGACTGGAGTAATTTTAAAATGACGACTTAAAATAATCCCATAAATGAAAATAATAATAATAAGTTTACAACACTAAAAATGCTAACGTAATTAAAAAATTGGCTTATTACAGTAACTTACAAGATTGTTGTTTTATACTAATATAGCGCCATCTAGTCTCACTGGCATAAAGCACGCGAGCATCTTATTGAGTGTTGTCATGAGGTTTTCAAGATGTGCTAAGGTTTTGATAGATGTCGCTACTTGTTTCATATTATCACGCTTCCTTCTTCATAAAGGGATATGCTGTAATTAAAATAATCACAAAATGATAATGGCCAAGAATCTTATCGTAAAAACCCTTTTCAACTATCGCAACTCCCAACAAGTTGTCAATAAAATACTGACCTTTATGTCTGGGCCCATATTTTTTAGTAATCTAATGGTGAAGTCGAAGTCAGCATTAATCTATTTGGTCTTAATAGAATGAGTATAGGAAGTAGATGCTTAAGAACTTATTTTTAATTTTCATCACAATTGGCTTAAACTATTTGTATGACTCTGACATAATTTGATCTCAAGACAGTTACGAGTATTCCAAAATTATGTCATTGTGATCTGCTTGACTGTAATTTTTGAACTATATTGCACGAGAATATAAAAGAGGTCGAAACACTTTTCAATCATTTTATTAAATTTCTTTCTTGACAATGAAATAATATCTGCATTCGCAAAAATAGTTATGGATGTACCTACCCTAACAAATTCTTTGAGAAAAACAATTAGCCATTTTAAGATAATATCCATTTTGTGAAACTACAAAACAATATTAAACAAATACTAAATCGTGGCATCCTTAAATCAGACATGTCCCAGACACCTAAGTTTATTAACGTGTTAAATTAATTACAATTAAGATGCAACTGACGTTAATTGAGTGACATTCTGCACTGGATGGGTGCAGTACCTAATATTAGTAGTACTAAGAAACCATATAAATAATTATAGTGTTCAATATGAGAGTTTCTAAAAAGAAAGTGGAATTTGACTGCATACCTCTAACTCAGGTTTGAATTTTAAAGTGATTTTTGTACTTTTTCATCACCTGATGGTAAGCAACCGACATCACCAATAGACACCCACTACACGAGAGGAGGTTCAAGGTGGGTTGGGAATTATACTGGTAGAAAGACAAGGAAAGGATAGTACAGTGTGGAATTCCCTTCAATGAGGAAAAATTGAAGGGAAGGCCCGGTCCATAATGTTACAGATTGTAATTTTGATAGTAATGTCGGTACGCTAGTTATGATGGCGCTGACGTCAATCCAATATGAATACTGTGGCATTTCGTACTACAAATTAAAGTACGCATTTTAGTACACTACTTATGTTAAAAAGATTTTTTTTTCATTTAGGATTTGTACACTGTATTGTATACTTGTGTGATAACATTGAACAAAAAACAAAAAAATGCGTAATTTGTTGTTTACTGTGGTATATTTTTAATTGTATTTAGCCTCTGATTGAAAGATACGGTCGTTCAATTAAATGCTTTCCCTGGTCTTTTTTTAAACTAGGAATATAGTGAATGATTTAATTTAAATGATGATTCTCTCAACTTCCAGATCCCTGAACATCATCAGAGCTCAGCATCAGGGTTCAGTGATGGCGACAACACGGCTGATGATCACACCGAAGTGCTATCAGATGATGACAGAGTCAAGTGAGTACAGAATTAAATAATGTGTCCCTAGCTATATTTTCATGCAATCAACTCTCTTGGGGGAGTTAATTGTTATGAGCTTCCTGGAAATGATTAAAAAGGACATTTATTTCCATCATCACTTATTAATTATTCTATGTTAGAATGTAATGATAATGTACATACATTGGTTACATAAAGGAAAGTCTTATCATCAAAAACCCCGGCAATGCTTCATTTATGCATTTATCCATTACTTCCACTTCCATTCAAACAATACTCACACTAAACCAAACTCAAATATCGCAAAAACAGCATCAAGACAATTGTCACCCAAATCCCTAAGTACTAAAGTGCATATTTCTCAAGCCCATTACGGTTTCCTTCGTCCAAATGAGTCCATTTGATATCTAGGTCCTCTAAATGCGAGGGTTGGGCCAAATCAGGGTTTAATAAGGATGTGCGGACGATGACCGGTGCATTGCGAAACGTCAACGTCGCCGGTTGGTGACACAGTGCAATGAGGACAAGATGGGTAGATGGCGCTGTTGTTGGATTGAGACGCTTCTTGAAGGGACGTTTGAAAGATTGCTAGGTGTGTGTTTGTTACTATGTTACTTTTCTATTGAGCTAGTATATGAACCTGGACTATACATAGATTAATATCAGAGATTCATTCAGAGACGTTCCCTCTCAGACAATCTTTGATTGATGAGAATTTGATAGTAGATAGACAGATAACCCATCCTTCAATCATTACAACAAAAGGTCTTTTCATTAGTTAACCTCCGTTTAATTAATTAATTATAACGAAATCAATTAAGACTCGCGGCCATCTAATTTATAGAAGGACTAATGTTTAACATCAGTAAGTCGATGTTATATTTTGCAATGAAGTATCTAGTCACTGAACAGTTGCTCAGATAATAATAATAAATATCCTGATCGATCTCGATCATAGTGACACATCTAACTATACTAGTCCATTACGCAGCAGATATATTTAGTGCGCAATTACAAGTGCACTATCTGTTCTCTCACTCTCTGAACTCGATGGGATGGCAGACCAATACGACCGAAGAGAGGTCAGGCATAGGACCAACAGTTTTACGTGCTTTCCGAGGCACGGAGGTGAAACATAGCCGAACTTCCTGACTCCGGGCTAATAACGGTCATTTTACTAGGATAATGACATTATCACTCCGAGCGTACGGTGCGTCCCGAGCGTACGGCGCGTCGCGTTTTGCGCGCCTCAAAGAGCCATCAGATCACCACGGATGAGGCCCAATAGGGCTAATGCCGATTCGGAGTCGCGAAGAACCTAACTGGTTACCGGGGCTCCGGCTGGACGTGCAGGAGAAGGAACGGGGTGGGTTTTAGTCAGTAAGAGTCTGACACTCCCTCCCGCTTCACCCAGGCGGGAGCAGACATTCGATGATTTTCACCCCTTAAAAAAATGACATTATCACTTTTTGGTCGGCGCGTCGCGTTGCACTGCTGCCGATCACCCAAACACTGCGCCAATCGTGCAGCCAATATTACATAGAACAGTCAAATACCTATTTATTGGTGGGTCACAAATTAATTTTCAGTGCGCCTTGTCTGTAGAAAGACGCATTAACCATCTGTTATGTCGCGGAGAACCTAACGGGTAACCGGGGCTCCGGCTCGACGTGTAGGAGAAGGAACGGGGTGGGTTTTAGTCAGTAAGAGTCTGACACTCCCTCCCGCCTCACCCAGGCAGGAGCAGTCATTCGATGATGTTCCACCCTTAAAAAAACCATCTGTTCTGTATTTTGTTTTTCATAATGGTAACGGTTTAATTCCCTGAAGGTGGGTCTTGTCTTCGGTTTGGTAATTTGATTTAGATAGGTCATAGTCCAGACGACTTTGAGAACCACTAGTCTAATGATTAAGTATTGTAACCAATGCTTTTGGGCGCTCTCATTTGAATCGATTACCATGTTTGTGGACATACATAAATCAATTAATTCTAGAGAATCGATCAATGAACCATTACAATCCATGTCATCAAGAAAGACATTGTTGATACTAATATCTTTAAAACATGCATTCAACTTGTAATTATCTCATATGTTGGGTAAGTGGAATTGCGAGTTCTCACCAGCGTTTACAAAGCCTATGAGAATTGTTACCGATAATATTTAAAGGTATTCTTGTCTATAGGAATCTATAGGTACTTCGGAATGAGTGACAAGCTTCATTCATTAAAGGACCTTTAGATCTTTAACTGTGAACTGAACTTTCTAGACAGCTATTGTTATTAGAATATTAAAGTCAAAGTCAAAGTCAAAATCATTTATTTCAATTAGGCCAGAATGGCACTTTTGAACGTCAACAAAAACAAAAATTTTAAGTGAAGCTATTTGCTCATTCCAAGGCGTAGATTCCTATGGAGAAGAACGAGCAAGAAACTCCATAGGTTACTCTTTTTCAATCAGGTTCACAATACAATTTACTAGTTACATAGTTTTGCTGTTTGGATTGTGCGAGAACAATGTAACACTAAAATCCAGTCAAAGTGATCAAAAAAGATAATAACCTTAAGGACAGTAATACAGTCTGGAGCTGACCAGTCCCAGTTGACGGCGCCCGTTCACGAACATGACACGTACACCAGCACCGCCCAACTCAACCATATTGTAGGGAATCGAGCGATCCACTGCACGCGCCACCGCCAATGAGACTTTTGAGTGAGCATGACAACTCCAAGCTGACACAAATGAAATCTACTAATCTAATTTAATATTAAGTTAATTACAGGGCTCTCACATTTACAATGGTTATCTAAGTTAAACAATATACAATTTAGCAATATGGCTGTATTATTTACGATTTCATTAAAACAAGTGTTTTTAGTTATCCTGTGGAGCCGGACTAGCCTGCATCCAAGCATTTTTATCCTCTATATATTCATTAAGTTTGTAATATGCTTGTCTACATAAAGTTTTCTTTATACATAATTTAAATTTCGATTCATTTAGTTGTTGTACATCGCCTGGTATCTTATTATAACATTTAACACAGAATCCCATGAACGACTTACTTACTTTCGCTAATCTCGAAATTGGCTGACTTAATCTACTCTTATGTCTAGTTTGATAGTGGTGTCTGTCCGACACTTTACCAAATAACTGTAGGTTTTTCCTAACATACATAATGTTTTCATAAATAAATTGACATGGAACGGTCATAATGTTGATCTCCCTAAACCTTTCTCTGAGTGATTCGCGACGACCTAGATTGTAGCTATTGTTAATAGAGATGAATGGTTTGATTTGAGATTTGATTTAAGTGGTCTAATCTGTGCCTTTAGCCAAACGCCACTTTAGCGCTTGTCTACAGAGAGAGTAGAAATCAAAATGTATGGGGATGACACTGACAAGTGTCAAAATTTACGTCAATTCCATATAATTTGGTTTTCTAATCTACAAGTAGACAAGCGCTAAGTGGCATTTGGCTACAGCTGCTGGTTATTTATTTATTTACTTCTGTATAGCAGATTTTAGAAATTAGAATGTACACTGCACGATTGGCGCGGTGGCTAGGCAACGGGTGCCACGCAACGTGTCGCAGGTTCGATTCCCGCACGGAACAACTCTTTGTGTGATCCACAGATTGTTGTTCTCGGTCTGGGTGTGATGTGTACATGAACTTGTATATTTGTAAATGCAACCACGACACAGGAGAAAAACCCTGTGTGGGGTTTTAAATAAAACTCCCCGTCCCAAGTCAGACGCTTAAGTTAGGGGTAATTTAAAAAGGTGTAAGGAGTCCGAAATTGTGCCTGTTGGCTGTAGGGACGATGTTTTTGTGAACTGTTTAGATATGTGCAATATAAATCTACTGTACGTGTTAATAAGGTCCATCTATTATATCTGTGGTGTGTGTGATAACATGTTATGTAAATAAATAAATACAATGTTTACGTAATCATGTAAATAGTTTTATAGTAACGATTCTGATGTACACAGGTCGTGGAATTTAGAACATGCGGCACACATACGTACGTACCTACGAGTAGTATGTATTATCATAGTTTGTATTAACTAGTACGAGTCCTAAATAATCATATAACAAGATAATAATTTTATTACTATACTCTTGTTGTACCAAATTGAGGAATGTTGGTTTACCTTCTACTTTAGAAAAAGCTAGATTTAAGAAATAAATAATTGTATCATGAATTTGTACAGGCGTCGGAGAAGAAGAATCGCGGTAAAGGTGTAAATAAATATTGTTTTAAAAGAAATTACTTCAAAAGCATAGTTTCCTATTATTTTAGTATAATTTTCTTTATAAACATTAATTCTATTTTTAAATATAAACGGCTTGTTAGTATCTTTTTCTTCTAGAAAATCCATCAATTGATGTGACGTCCACATTAGTTTTTTATTCAATGGATAAAACTAATAGCATTAATAACAATATTCTGCGAACATTTGTATAAATAAATAACTTAACGAATACTTTAATGGGTTCATTATAATCGGTTAAATAGATATTTACATAAATTGTTTCAATTAATTATAAACCTGGATTACTGCCCGTTACATTATATTTAAACATTCAATTTCGTTTAGATCACTGTTTAGACAACGAGTGGATCTCCTCTACATAAGACAGTTGGCCTGATATGCTTGGCAGGCTAGGCAGGGTTAAAGGTAGAACTTAAAAAAAAAAACAAAAACAATCACGCGTTTTATCTCTGAAGGGATAGGCAGAGGTGCACATTATAGCACTTAATGCCAGTGTACAATGTAACACCCACTTTTCACTATTAATTTTATGAGTTCCATGTAATAGGGGGTGAACCTATTGCCATATACCGGGATCAATTCCAGACTCCGCGCTACTAATGAGATTTTTAAACTTAAAAATAGTCTAGAAGTTATTATAGAAGAAAACAAGCCAATCTTTTAACGAAAAACCAATAAGGAGTTATTTAATCACTTTCTTCAAAACACAATGTTGTCCATTAGACATGGTAATGGTAAACA